TGACAATTGGGTCAACAGACGATTGGGAGTTCAAAAGGGGTCCTACAGACCCAGTGCAGGCCAGTGTTGGCGCCACTGATTGCGAGCTCCAAAGGGATTGCGCCCTGAGCAGGTCCCAAGGTCCTTCAAGCACTGAGAGGTCACTTTCAGCTGCATCACCAAGGCTCCATTCAAAACACGTGGTTCCATTGGCCTTTCGAACGGCCTCGCTGTGCTCACTGTACCTATTCGCCTCCTTGAGCCCTTGGCCATGGCAGGCTCCGGCCGTCACCAGAAGAACAGCGGTGTCAGATCGAACAAACCTTAAGTGGATAAGATGCAAATCACCTGACCTTGAGTGGTTCCTGAAGGTGGATCCAACATCTGACTTTGAAGTCGCCGTTCTCAAGGTTCGGAATTTCGCCCGCCAAGGTATGATCGACCACTGGGTTAGGGATGTGCTGCCTTCGGCAGGCTTTTCGGCGAAGCTGTTGCATCATTATGAGACACACTAGCCCAGAACACTTAGGCTCTAGATTGCATCATTCATCATTATTCATCCCTGGAAGGCCGTCTTGAGCCAGCATGCTGCAAAAGCGCGACTGCCAATGACCAGGCTTAATGAACAAAATAGAACAAGGTTACAGAAGAAGTTCAAGCTGCTCATGAATGGTCACGTGTGGCCACGTGACCATTTCTCCATCCGAAACATTTTGGAAGAGTCACACTTGGTTCATCTTGGTTCTACCCGTTATATACATGTCCATAGAGCATGAGAGGGTGGATTGATGAAGTTATAAAAGTTCGATGCAAAAGCATAAGGAAGGCTGCTCCTGTAGGGCTGCGGGTTTTTTGCGACAGTTTTGGGGGGTTTTTTGCAACGGTAGGTGTGAGAGGGTTTTTTTGCGACGGTGACCGCAGAAAGGGTTTTCTGTGACAGTACTGTCCGCAGGGGGGGTTTTTGCGACGGTGGGGCGAGGGTTTTTTGCGAGCGATAGAGAGGTGGCAAGCGTTTGTGGGGGTTTTCTGCGACGGTAACCGGGGTTTTTTGCGACGGTAGCGCGTGGACGGGGTTTTCTGCAACGGTAAGCGGGTTTTTTTGCGACAGTAAGGGGCTCGAGGCGACGGTACTATAGTAGTACGACGACGACGACGACGACGACGACTACTACTATACTACTACCACTTCTACTTCTACTTCTTACTACCGCTACTACTACTACTACTGCTGCTACTACTACTACTACTTCTACTTCTTGCTGCTACTACTACTACTACTACTACTACTAGGACTACGACGACGACTACTATACTACTATACTGCTACTACGACTACGACAACCAGTACGACGAATAGTATATTAAGACTACTAACTGCTAGAACGAGTATACTACTCCTCCCATCAGAAATCCATTGTGTTCTGATGCTAATCACAAGCTAATTCTGGATGCTTTGTTGGCTCCGCTACCATTTGTTAAACATTTCGGTAAAACACTTCCATTTGTTAAACATTTCTGGAATGTTCAACGTTTCTCATTTGTGCGACAAACTCTTACACAAAGGTATGCGTACAAAAACAAAACAAAACACAAACAAACAAACAAACAAACAAGCACACAAGCGCGAGTTCGAGTTCGCTGCTGCTGCTTCTACTATTCTGACTGACCACTACTCACTCCAAGCCCAGGGGGTTTTTTGCGACAGTAATTTCAGAACTGTGGCAGAAAACCCTGCTTTCCAGCAGCACCGTCGCAGAAAACCCCCCTTGCAGGTAGCACCGTCGCAGAAAACCCCCTTAACTGTGCAACTGTTTAAAAGAACCCCTAAAACTGTCGCAAAAAACCCCCGTCCCCGGACAAACAGTCCCTGTCAGTCGTAATGTGAGGCACCAACATCCGCAAGGCTGCAAGTGGCGCCATCATGTGATCACATGTGTTCACCATGTTGACAGCTGCTGGTCCCTGTACTACTAGATGTTCTGGTAGTACAGTATAGTGGCAGTGCAAACGCGGGATGCTTTGACGCAAAACATATTGAACGAATTCGTGATATACAATTGATTTGCAGTCCTCAAACCACCTCCTGTGACCAGCGATTTGCAGAACCCTACATCCAGAATTTCAGCAGTCAAACGCTTGTGAGATAGGGTTTGGCATCCGAAGTGAAGCTCAAGCTTGGAGTTGGCTTCACCTTGGGGTCAGCGCATGATGCTGCACGACGCAGTCCAAAATCGGCGCGGAGCATTTTGAGCCAATGGCTTGACTGCCATCCGAAGAACGTTTGTGAATCCGCTGCTGAATTTCCTCTAGCTGGGCCAGCCACCCTAGCATTGCAAAATTAAGTAATGGCCACTTATGGCCACTTGTCACTATCTATCTGCATGTGAATCACGTGACACGTGCATGAGTTTCTGAAAGATCCGAATCCGAATCACCTGACCAACCCCATGACAGCATGGATCAACTAACCCCACCTCTGTTGGGCTCCGAATGTCGAACCCCGGTTCAGCTGTCACGCCTTGCCGCACTGTCTTGCGCCTGGGGAAGAACGTGAACTGAAGGTGGACTTGGTGAAGAAGGCGCAAAGAAATCACATAATGAGCAGTAATCAAAAAAACACAAAAACTCTTAATGAGACTGATAAATTATACATTTACCACCTGGCATGAACATAAAACTAGCCTCCTTGATGACTGGTAACCGTTTCAACAGGAGAGACTCTCTGGAAGCCACCAAACTCAGTCTCCGTGCCGCTCGATAATGCTCTGGATCATAAGCCTCCATTAGGCTTGGTACCGTCGCTTGGTGAACATGAGCCATTTGCAGGCTTATGACCGGTGGAGTTGGGCGTGACAGATGGTTTCACCTGTACCATCATGGATCGGTCTGGTGAATCTTCCATGTTTCCCCCGAAAAACGGGTCATGGAAAGGAAGAACGCCACACATTCTCAATTCTAGTGCACATCTAAACACCCAGTGAGCCCCCGGACCCCATCGGTTCATATTATCCGATCGACGACCTCGGACCGAGGTGAAGCAGCGGGCGGTGCCCACCGGCTGCCGTGGCCTCCACCTGGGTGAGGCTCACATTTTGGGGCTCCGACTTGGCTCCTGACGCGTGAGACTTGACCAACGGGCAGGCAGTTTGTAGGGGTAGCCTTATCTAGCCTTCAAGCGAGTGATACATGGCAAGTATATTTTACAGGTCCGGCAAGTGGTCTTCTGCAAATGTTGGAGGTCTCATTCTCTGAAGAAAGTGATTTGTCTCTCCACTGCTTCAGCACAAATCAGCCAGTTTTGACCAAAAGGGGGCACATCTATTCGTCTCTCCACTTATCGAAGATCGATTGCCATCGCACGACGGCCAGCTACCGCACGACGGCCTTTTTGGATGAACAGTCACGAGCGGCTCGGTCACGAGCGGCCGTCACTGCTGTTCTGTGTCCGAGAGATCTGCGAAGGGGTCCAGCCTACGCGGTCCAACCGAACAATCGTTGTAAAGTGAAGCCGGCACATGCCGAAACCATGAAAGGCATGTGGCATGAAAGTCAACATCTTCGGCATGAAAGGATTCATGGATTCACCAAATCCCTGCTGACTACCATCTGAAATGCAGCTTTGCGTCTCAGGGAAGTCGCCACAAACCTCACGGCGCAAACGGGGTGAATGCGTCCCACACGTGCTATGCAGCTAAGCAGTAGAAGATTGGGATTGCCACCGCAAACCTCCTCCTCCACCAAACAACCTGAATTGCATTCAATGGCTTTGGGCTTGCCCACTAGCCCAATCCCGCCCCAAAAAGCCACCGCCCAAGACCGAGCGTCCACATCCTTCGGCTGTGCCCAAACCACCGGAGCATCTTCCCGAGAGGGCTCAAAGTAGCGAATTCCTGTCGGGCAGGTCAAGGCTGTCGGCCATCCGCCGTCCCCGTTGGAAATGAAAAGGTGACTTGGAAGCTGATGGTTTGCCTTAGCCATTTGGCTTTCCGTTTCGGGTCAGATTGCCCCCGGGAGCGGCTGGATCTGGTGAAAAAGCGAATTCGTGCAAGCTGCAAAGCAGCCTTCAAGCTCAAGGGTTGCCGATGGACCAAAATCACATTAGATCGAGAAATGATGACTTATTCTGATCGAATTGATATCTTGAGATGCTCATCCATCAAGAGGTTAGCATATTGCCATTCAATGCCATATGCATATAATGTATACATCCCTTCACCATCTTTCTACCACAACTGGTCCACGAGATCTTTCTTCCGCTGAGCATCCATCCAGCCATCTGGAACCCAACTGAACATCATCTCCTTGTGACCTTGGCCAAGAGCGACGATATCGGTTTGTCTGAATATGGTGGTCTGGCAAACATTGAGTCCACTTTGTTAGGCCTTAGTGCTACTTGCAACTGGTAGCCCAACCAACAAACAAACCTATGCTTGCTCAACGAAAGGATCCCTATCCAATCAAATGCCGCTGCTGCCTTTCATCCGCTCGTGGCCATGTCGGGTCCCCCGGCACCGTCCTGGTGCAAACGACCGCTACAGGCCTAAGCCGAGACACCACGGCGGGAGCTCTGACCAACCTGCAAGAATCACACAGGTTAAAATTCTCTTTTGGTCAGAGCACTCTTCACCGGGCGGTACCCATCAGCTCGGGCCTTCGGCTTGGCTTCTCCAATCGGATCTTCAAAAGTCCATTGCTCCATCGATTCACTCTCGGTCATGCGCTCTGCGAGTTCCGAGAGCTCCAACACTTGATCCGTGGAGGCATTAAACTCCTGCAACATGAACTGCAAAAACTTGTTTCGCCAGGCTGGAAAATGATGAAGGCGTCTGGCACCCTCACTGCACAAGTCCGCTACTGCTGCCGAAAACTCTTCTGACTCCGGAACCAGGGTTTGCTTCTTGACCAATTCAGTCTTGACCTGTTGTTCCGTCTTGACCTCACTCTCACGAATGCTCTCCAAGAAATGGGAGATTGAGCCGGTGGCGATGCTCTCACGGATGGCACCACCCCACTTCTGGCAGCCGTCTGGCAACGGAAGCACTTCTCCATTGCGCAACAGTTCAACACCTGGGCATAGGTCTGCAGCACCTTCTGCAGGGTCTCTTCGGCCTTGTCCAACATTGTTGCACTACCATGAACCTGGCACATCTTGGTGGTCTTCGTGAACGTGAATGTCAGCACGTTGTCTTCACCTCCAAACAGCTTGTCATTCACATGTCGTGCCGGGATCCTGGCCTTGCACATTGCTTTGGACTGGACCATGTTCTTGGCATACTCATCTCCATCAACCACGCAGGAACTAACCATGCACTCGAAAAGTGCACGGATCTCCTCATCGGAAATCTTCTCAACAGCAACTTTCACCATGGCTCCTACGGAGGGTCGAACGAATTGGACTGCCGTCTCCTGTTCGGTCACTTGAGCGTCACCTCCGGTCACACTCTGTCTCTGCAAACGAACCTGTCTCTGAGCGGCGGCTGCTTCCATCATGGTGCTCTCGTTACTTAGGTGGTATTTATGGGTTATCATGGCTGCTCTAAGAAGGTCCATTGCTTCAGGCGACTCCTTAGTTAATGCGTCTGCAAGTTGAAGCCATGTCGGCGCCCATCGAATCTTGCCCCCAACACGCGCAAGCGTTTCTCGCACGATCACAAGGTCAATCGCGACTCTTTTGTCGCTGACACTTCCAGGGGATGCAAAGTTCTGGAGGTGATCGTAAATGCTCTTGCAATCAACAATGGCCTGCAGCTGAAACTCTCTCAACTTGGACTCACGATTTGCGAGCGAAAAATCAAAATGCTTAGCCTCGGCTATGTGACATGCTACCCACTCTGCATGCCCCAACCCATCAGAGAGCACCTGTGATTCCCCAGCGAAAGTCGAACCTACGACCCTTTTCAGTCGATAAGACTTCCAAACACATGGGCTCCATGCGGCAGGCTTACCTATCTGCAACTCTTTGGTTGTCACCCCAACAATGTAACCTGCCTGGGTTCCTTGTTTCTTGGCATTAGCGAAAGCGGCATCGGTGTGCAAACACAGACACAGATCGTTCAGTGGGATTGGCAGGATCTTCCAAACCATGGTCTTGTACTGTTTTGCTCTCCTAACGACATTTCCTACCGTCCGAGCAGCCCCAAGTGTCGGTCGGGGTAGCAATTGCTGCCCCTGGCTCACCTGTACGGCGAGATCTGGCCTGGTTTCACGAGCGAGCCATAGTGCACCGCCCAAAACTGACTTAAGGGATGATGCTTCGGCTTGGTTGATTTCTACCAAGGGGGATTCCTTTGTTCTCAACTTTGGTTTCTCAAGCTTCTCTGCAAATTTCTCTTGACTGACCGAAATGGCAAATGTCTTTGGGCATTGGTGCAACTCAGAGCCACAAAAACTCCCAGCGCCGATCTTCCATTTCCTAAATGGAAAGGTGTCACGCAATCGTTTGATAGACTGCTCGAATCGCTTGCCACGGCCGCCCAAAACGACATCGTCCACATGGACGCCTAGCACTCCTTGCAATTCAGTACCTACCCAAAAGAAATAAGTGCAGTGATCCAGCTTGGATTGTGTCCACCCGAGTTTCTTGATGGTAGTATCGAACTTCATGAACCATTTCTGAGGTGAATCGTTAAGTCCATAGATTGGCCTAATCACTTCAAACAATTGCTCAGCATCATGGTCAGGAAGTGCGAAGTTCTTTGGTGGTGCCATGTACAGTTTCTCGTTCCCCCTCTCCATCTCATCAGCCTCAAGGAATGCCCCAGTGACGTCTCCTAATTGCATTTCATACTGCTGACTGGCTATCACCTGGAGGACCGTGTATCTACCATTGGAGGAGATGGTCGGGGATTGAGTATTTCCTTGCCTAATGAGTGCCAAGAGATCAGGGTCTTTATCTCCCCTGGCTGTCCAGCGAGCCTTGACAATTTCCTCGCCTGAGTCGTCCAGTTTTTCTACCAACACCAACTTGCTTGGCACGATTCGGTCTGGTTCTTCTTGGCGGATTCTTCTCGAGTGCTCAACTGTCAAAGGTCGAAGGGCCTGTTTGTCCTGGACGACATTGGCGATTTCTTTCCGCACTCCAGCGACAAGTTTGGCTTTGCCAGAGGAACTGGTCCATCTCTCTTCTCGAAGATTCAGTTCATTTCTACCTCCGGCTAACAAAACATGTTCACACTGACCGTCCATGCGCAACACGAAGTCTTCCGAATCATCCCCTACTGACAATGACGTGGCTTGTTGACCAGAGTCGATCATTAGTCTTGCATGACTTGATGCTTCACTCGAACCTGAACTACTTGGGACAGGGATTGCTTCAGGTCTGATGGGATGTTCGGACGGACTTGGCAGGGATGGTGGAAACCGTTGACCCCCTACATTTTGTGGCTCAACCATTCTCTGTCGTTTGTCTGGTGGTTCGCTCGGTGCTTCTAGATGCTGTTTTCTTACCAGTCCATCTAGCCTATCTGCCCTCCGTGCTGATTCCTCCCACGCCATGCGATCATCTTGGGACATCTGGCTCAGTCGTTCTGTCAGGCTTTTCTCACTGCTACGAATGCTTTCTGCCTCTTCCCCGGGGGATGCTTCTTCACCTCTTGACATGGACTGTGCAGATGATTGGTTGATCGACGGAGGCGTCTGAGGAACTTCAAGGCTTTGAGGGGTTCGCGGAACTTCTTGTTGTCCCGGAGCGATCTCTGGTGAGCTCTGGGTCGGTCGGCAGTCAGGCATTCCTGGTGGCTGAATACTTGTCAAGTCTCCTGGAGGTGTGTCTTCAGCAGTAATGTCAAAATAACATTTCTGGTGTGGTCGACTGGAAACACCCACCTCAGGCCACAAGGAAGCTGCAGCGGCCCTGAGATCACGGACTAGGAAACGATCAGCTTCCCGTTCCTCTGTCGTCCTCAATCGCAATTGCTCTGGTGAGCATTCGACGAACGAGCCAGGCATAGAAATCCAGTAGTTTCCACCGGCGCAGCCTGCCGCTATCCCGGGTCCACGCCATCGTGCACTGGACTTCTTAATTCCCTTGCCCCTACGCCAGATTGCCACCTCATCACCTACACGGAATTCTCTTTGAGGGCGTGGCCTACTATTTAGGGCTATCCTAGCTGCTTTGTGGTCTAATTGTTGAAGGACCTCTTGTCGGGCAATGCTCCTAGCACGATGTTGATATTCCGCGATTGCGTCTTCTAGGATGGCACTATTGCTTATTGGATTCGGCTTTTCTGAACACAAGTCGTCGCCCGGGCACTCTGGATCACGGCCGAACACCAGCTGGAAAGGACTGTGGCCAGCTCTTCGGAGCAAGGAATTTCTTGCCTCGACCGTGACGTCTACACATTCTTGCCACTGTGAGTAGTCTTGGCGTGCCATTTGATCAACCACTTTTCTGAAAGCTTCCTCAAAATGCCATCCCTGGCTTTCGACGTCACCCATCTGTTCGTGCGCTTCACCTGGAATGTCCAGTGGAGTCGTGCCGTCACGCTCAAGCATGTCTAGGAACTGCTGCCCCAGATTACACCGACTTGCGTCGAACTTGAGGTATCGTGGCCTACCATATGACCTGGTCCAATACCGGTACAGTCGGCCGATGACTTCTGAGGTTTCCTGTTCTCTAAACGGCAGGATTTGTTGAAGACCGGACATTCTGCATACTATATTGAGTGCTTTGATTTTCTCTCGGGCTTTCCAGGATGGCAAGTGTTTCACATCTAGGCCTACGTATCTCAGCGGCGCCATATCTCGGGGTGGAGCAGATTCCTTCACCGCTTTAGGTGCTGATCTAGCCTGGCAGATGCTGCACTCATACGCTTTCACAAGTTCGAGAACTGACTCCTGGGCGTGATGATGCCGAAGGATACGAATCATGTCAGCTTTGGAGGCATGACCAAGGTTGATGTGAAGTTTCTTGATGGCTCGTTCAACTCTCCTGCGGCCTTCACCTTTCAAATCACCTTGAACAGTTGCCTGGCTCACTGCATAGCATTGATGCTCTACGAACTCATGCTGGGCCATTGCTCCTAGAATGATCCTTACTAGTCTATTTGGATATACCTGGGTACGAATGGACCGCTGCATTCCACCCGAAGTTCCCTCCACGGCCTGATGGTCGTGGTTCTTGCTGCATGTCAATCGACCCAATGCTGAAGCCACGGTCTGGCAGTTTGTCATGAATCTCCAAGGTTTACCAAAAAGCAATCCTGACTTAGGGTCTCGCATCCCTACTGCACATGCCGGCACATCAATGATGAACGGTGCAAAACGACGAACAAAGCTCTGCATTTCACTGAGTCTCCATGCTTGACTGGTTTTGGATGATTCAAAAAGGAAAAACTTTCCTCGGGCAATGCATTCCGCAGCTCTATCCAAGGACCAACTTACCATGCCTTTAGCCTGTCTTACTTCTCGCTGGTGATGTGGCAGATCGACTCGCTTGACATCTGGCGTCAAGTTCTGCATGAGCGAGAGTGGACCGCATGGTGGCGAAAACACGGAAAAATCGGGATCTATAATGGCTAAGGCTTCTTCAGCTCTTCTCCTATGTTCCATTTTCCTCCAGTCCCAACCCTCACTCAGGTCCAGCGCGCCTCGGCCAGTGATGCCACACTGATCTGCCCATTCCTGAAATCGGCCAGGTGAAAAGACCTCCATCAATGACGGGGCGTCTCGAGCATTTTGAGCCAGGACACGAGTGACGTTTCCGAGAACTTCCTTTCGCTCTTTGGCCTTGAACACACAGCATACGCCGACATCGTCGTCGGCCTCATCATGGCTGGACTCTTCTTGAAATGATGTCACGCCCAGCACATCAACTTCTGGCGACACCACTTTGCTTCCTCCAGCGATGTCCAACAGATTGATCTGATATGAGTTGTCCTTCATCTCATGGATTGCTGCTGCAACTCCGGCCTTAGTCATGATCAGCTTGTTGTCGTTGAGGTCTATCATCGCCCCAACGCTCTTCAACAGCCGTTTGGATATCAAAAGGGGCACATCTCCAGGAACAACATGCAATCGCACCCGCAGCTCTTTGCCAGCAACGAACACCGGAAGTTCAATCCTCCGGCTTGTCTTGTCTGCCGAGCCGTTCCCGTATCGGAAGGTGTGCATCTTGTCTGGGAGTTCCTTGATGTTCATGCCATGTTTCGAAAGCATCTTGATGTGCCGTTCCAAGGTGTTTGCACCGACCAGCCCTCTGCCGCATCCTGTATCGAGGATGCCGTAGCCTGGTTCATGCACCAGGGCGCACATGCTCTCTTGTGGCTGAGATTCATCTTCTCCTTCATCATCACTAGTGCCAGGCTCACGGAAAGCCTGGTCCACTTCGTCCTCGTGAGGCCAGGATTGTTCTTGCTCATGCATCTCTGCAAAAAAGGCTGCTGTGATCTCGTCCACTTGATGCTCAACTCCTTCAACTTGGAAGGCATATTCTGCTCCAAAAATCTCTCTGTCCAGTGCATCCTCCGGATCAGCGAAATGGAACAGTGCGGCATCATTGAACCACCGCATGTCATCATCTTCCTCATATTGCAACCCTTGCACCTGGCATGCATACTCTTGGCCAAAAGTCTCTCTGTCCAAGGCATCTTGTGGATCGTTGTGTTCGAACAGCTTCTCATCGTTCACCCTGGGATCAACATCTTCTTCTCCGTGACCCTCGAGGTGGTAGAAAACTGTCCGTCCAGTCCACACCTTGTCTGTCTTGCGATGGGCTTCCAGGCTGTTCTTCCAGTTCGGAGTGAACTGTTCATCAGCCCGTCCGTCTTTGTCAATGAGGATCGTCGTTCTCGCCGTGCTCAACTGATCAACCGGCACGGGGCATCCAGTCCTGGCCGGACTGAACATTGACGACCGTGGATTGACATGGTGTCGGATCACTTCCTTGTCGGTCACTGTCCAATAGTCCTTTGGGCGGTCCGACCAACTGCTCATGACATCGTCGATCAGCTTGTTCTCGTCCTCCTCGTCCATGGCACTTGTCATAAACACGAGGCTCACCTTCGACGAACCGCTGGAATTGTCACCTTTGCCAGTCGATTTGCCCTTCCTGTTTGGGCAGTTTCTTGAAAAGTGACCCACCTTTTGGCACTTGTAGCAGCGGACTCGGGCTTCCAGTTTCTTCAAACCTCCTGAACTGAGCCCGCGTGATAGCTTTTCTTTGTTGATGTTCTGCCTCGTCTGCTTCCATGAGAGCAGCACATCCACTGCATCTTGTTCTTCAATTGGATCTTCACCCAAAAGGTCCTCATCTTCCTCCGCCAGTAGGACTTCTCCAATGTCACCTGCATCTTCGTCCTTCTGGTGGTCAACTGCAGCAACATGGCTACTGTGTCGGCCGGCGTACAGTCCTTCTGGATAGGTCGTCCTCAGAGCTGCTGCGATGTCTTGCTCCTCGTAGGACTGTCTCGATGCCGCCATGACGACGGACTTCTTGTCCTGGGGCAGTTTGGCATTCCTCAGCAGTAGGTAACCTCTGGCCACCGATGGGAGTTTCACACCTTCTGCTTCTGCTGCTGAAAATGCTGCTCTTGCCTTCCCAGTATATCCAGAAGTGGATTCACCCTTGTCAACCTTTAGGTCAAACACTCTGTCCAACACCTCTCCAAGTCGATCATGGGTCGCCTCCTCCGGGAATCTGTCATCCAGCACCTGGTAAATCAGGTCCTGTCCGCCTGTCTGCTCCAACTCGTCCATATTGATAGCATCAAAAGCTCGAAGGGCCGTCCCGTCCAGCATTGTAAACAACATTGCACCAAACACCGAATCATCAGTGCCCTTTGCACGCTGCACTGCCAGAAATGCTCGAGACCAGCGCTTCCAAAGCTTGTAATCCTTTTGAGGCTCGCTGCCATCACCACTGAACCGTCGGATCGCCGACTCATGCTTTGCTTGCTCTGCCATGCCGCTTTTCTCACACGCGGGCCCCGTAGGGCTCCGCTACCAGTTGCAACTGGTAGCCCAACCAACAAACAAACCTATGCTTGCTCAACGAAAGGATCCCTATCCAATCAAATGCCGCTGCTGCCTTTCATCCGCTCGTGGCCATGTCGGGTCCCCCGGCACCGTCCTGGTGCAAACGACCGCTACAGGCCTAAGCCGAGACACCACGGCGGGAGCTCTGACCAACCTGCAAGAATCACAGCTACCAAAGGGCTCCAAGCAGCACTTCGTCTTGGGGCCAACTGCATACCGCTCAGGGGTTGAAGAAGAAGGTCTTCAAAACTAGGGCGTTAGACTTACAAATAAAACTGCTCTATTTGGGCTATTCGCGTCTATTTGCTCCAACCCTTGAGCAGCTCCTTGTCCTATCCTCGTTGCCAAAGCTGAGCCCCTGGGTGTGAAATGGTGTGACATCCTGGTGTGAAGATTCAACCCCATAACCAACCCCACACTCCAAGACTCAAGGAGGTCTTCTGGGAAATGGCAAGTACCCCGCGCTGGGTGCGCTTGACTGTAGATCAAGAATCCACAGCGCATCGAAAAGTCTTGAAACTGGAACAACTCCCGAAATGTCTGCCACATCCTGCCATGTCTCATCCCACAAGTTCCACAACTCCCCTGCCAACCTGCGTCCCCTCAACCGGCCAAGCTTCATATCCAACTCCACCGCCACCAGGATCTGCAGCCCTCCCGGGCGTCCGACGAAGCACACCTGCCCTCGGCGTCCGCCGGGCGAGACCTGACCGAGTCGGATCTCCACATCCACTGCGGATGGGCTTTCGGTGGGGCATCTGCTGTGAACGTATAGATGGACCCTCCAAAGTACAGAAAATTGGACATGACCCCATCAAAAACAGGTACTCGGTACCAATTGTCCGAGGTACGAACTGAGACTTCAGGTAGATGGAAAAGCACCCAAATCCGTGATCCAACAGCAATTGGAACATGGACCTTTGGCCCCATGTTGGCCCCGGAAAATCCACCTTGATTTGGTTTGATCACATGCACCGTCGCGTGGAACATTGATGTTCCAAATTCCCTTACCATTGGTTAGCTGCTGAGTGGGGCTGCAACCAAGCCCTTACAAAAACAAACAATACTGAAATTCCATCCAATTCCAAGATATTCCAAGCATCCGAACTAAACCTCCTCCACGAACGCCCACTCGCCGAATGGCTGGCCTCGCAACGTGCGCCCAATGGGTGGCTGGCCATCTGCAGCATCATGGCCTCGGTGAATGTTGGGCAAAGCAAGCGGTGGGACCAGCCACAGGGAACTCGGAAATCTATGGTAAGTGGGATGATGATGATCACTGATGATCTGCCAACGTGGGATGTCCCTCAACAAAAAGGACCTAATTGTAAACTAGCTTGTAAGTTTTTTGTTTTTTTTCGCGTGACAGGTCTTGGGCCTCCTGGAATACCAGTGGGCATATATGTTGTATTGTGTTGTCACTTGTCCTCTAATAACAAACCTGAATACGCCGCCTGTCATCCATTGTCCAATACCGTTCTACAAGTACATGCTGTATCAACGTCCGATTTCTCAATCAAACTTAAGTGCACACGATGGTTCAGGTGGAAGCCGAAGATCCCTTCAAACAGACACACCTAACCACAGTGACAAATTAAGGCTGGCAAGAAGAAGAAACGTCCAATCACCCCATTTTTGACAGCAGGCGCTTCAGGTTTGGGGGGGTTCACATGGTTACTGCGCCCAAAACCACCCTTTGAACGCCGGCATCAGGGCGGGTGAGAAGTTCAGTGACACTTTCGGTCGCCCCAGGGGCCTCCACCGAAGAAGTCTCCTGCGAACCACTGCGGACGATGACGATGTCTCATGGTCATTGTCAGCTGATCCGCCCGAACACAGCGGCGGCGGCATGAGCTGCATGTGGGGGCCATCCGTCCGAACACCTGAACCCATCGCTTCCATCTATAAGTGGATGGCCCCGTTTCAACGACCGGAGGTATCCGGAGGTCGGTCCCCCTGCCATCGACCCCCCCCGAAACCCCGAGAAACCCGGAGTCCACTCCCCCAAGCCCAAGGCCCATTAGGCTGTGGCTTCCGTGGAGCTTGCCATGGCTCTGGCGAATGGGGGAATGGCACCAAGCAAAGTACAAACGAATTACGCACTGTTGCAGGGAATTGGACATCTCTCAAATCTCTCCACCTGTATCGCCATCTTGGCGATTCAGGGCTCACTTCCCAACCAAAACCGTCCTGGACGGTCTGGGGCGGTCCCTCTGACTGCAAGGCTTCCCGCTTTTCCTCAGTCACATGACACATCAAACAACTGCAAAGTGGCGATGCGGGATTCCAATGCCAAACTGCGACCCAAACTCACTGAAAAGCACACAGCATGCTGACAAGCTGGTAACTTTGTTGAGTTTACTGCAGTGTACCACATGTCATACCATTGGACATGACCAAACCAGGTCCTTCTCTGTCCCTCAAGGCTTCTGGCCAAAGTTCGATCAGCTCCCGCGTTTGGGCGCTGACTCGCACGGTGCTGGGAAGATCCATGGCTCTGTTTGGGCCAAATTGGTGCAGGGGTCCTCTGCCCCGTTAATGGACCACATGCTCCTTCACCTGCCCAGTTTGGGTGGCCTTCCGGTGAACCGAGACAACGTGTTGCCCCATGACGTACAAGGTCTCGGACTACTACTAGGAACAAGAAGCTATTAGAAACAAGAATTAGAATTACAATTGAATTCTTCCTGAAACATGGGAACTTTTCGAGAAGTGCCCCCTATACGGACGTGGAATAAACTGGCCAGCGACAAGTGCGGTGTGAATGGAGCTGCATTTGTTGAACCAAAAGCTGCCTGCTGTCGGACTCTGTGACCTGCAGCCGTCGTTTCAAGGCTAAGCGGCTTCACTTTTCTTACAAGAATGGACTTCCTATAGAGTACATGTGCCGCAAAGGAACAAACTCAAACCAAATTGCTGGCTAAAGCTTAGGCAGAACGTCTTGAAGGTTCTTGAAGGAGACAGAATTCGGTGAAATGCCCTAGCTGCTAGCCGCAAAAGGCCCAATGCCAGTGTCACATGCTTGTGATCCAGTGTCTGCCACCACCAATGAGAAACTAACAAAACATCCCGAACCGTCCGGCTCTCCTCGTATGGCCGGTGGTCCTGAAAGGCTTCTGATTTTTTGGATCCAGCTGATGCAAATGAAGTTCTTCAACTTCAACCTGAATATCAAGGGCCACTTCAATCTTCTCTTCTTGGCTTCTTTGGACCATGCCACTGTTCTGCTCCACCAACCCAGTGCTGACCAAAGCTATTTTCGAAGGTGAAACCAGAACGGTAAAGCACCGATGCCTCCGACATCCTCCAGCCAGGTGAGTCCGCTACGTGGAGCCTCCGTCCAGAAAGAAAACAGGGCTGCACGACCAGTGTTCATTCCAACCTAGAAGCGGTGGCCTCCAACCTAAGAGCGGTGGCCTGTCGTTTGGGTAAGGGTTCAACAAAAAATCAAAAGGAAATCAAAAAAATATTCAACGGGGATTTAAAAAAACATAAAAAGGGAATCAACAAATATTCTAGCCCTACAGACAGGGGCGCGGCCAAGAAAAGGGCAAGAGGAGGACAATCTGCAAATGAGATGGGCGACCCTTTACATAATTAGTTTTCGTATGTTTTCGTGGCAGGCGCAGTGGAGAGTGCAGATTTTCTGGTGCTGGAGGGGGGTTGGGGGGGGGGCGCAGCGCCTCCCCCCCAAAGCGAACCAAACGTTAACACACAGCACCACAAAAGAACTCACTAGAAACTATGTACCCTATCGCCCTTTCAGTGAAGGGCATCTAAAAGTGCACAAAAGGACCTAACCAACAGAAGCCAAAAACATTATACGTTTGCAGGAAAACTGCGGCCAATAAACTACAAGAGAAAGGACCAAAGGCATCAAAAAGCATCAGTGAAAGAACAAGGAGAAAACCATAGGAAACCCTCAGACCAGAGGACCAGGAGGGCAAAGGACAAGGAGACCACGGGACCAAACCAGTACCAAAGGACCAGGGGGCCAAACGGAGGACCCGCAGACCACAGGGCCAGGAGAGCAGCAGCAGAGGCCTATAAAGGAATATTGTTGTTGATCCTTTATTTGTTTTTGTTGATCTACATGCCCTGTCGTTTTCTGAGCACATGGCACACACAAATTCACCTCACCAGCCCACCAAGGCCTCAGAAGTCCGAGCCCGCTGCGCAACTTGAGGTTTGGCCTGGCAAAGACTTTTGGTGCGCTGGGGCAGCAAGTAGCGGTCTTGGGGTCCAGTTAGAGGATGAAACGTGTCGAGAAGGATACTCCAACACTCACTTGCGGTTTGTAGGTAAACCGTATTGTCAGGAGACCAAGTTCCATCGTTCGCTGCCCTCTGGCCTAATCCAAACTCCCAAGGCCTAAGGTTTATGTGTACCTTCTGACCACTCCCAGTGCAACTGTGTCAATTGTTCTCCACGTGTCTCCACCATCTGGCAGACATGTTACACACAAAAACATATATTATACAATATATAGTATAATTTATAGTATATATATATAATAGTAAGATACAAAATAAAGAGAGCTCGACGTTATGCGGGTGTGGTTTTTACGCGTTTTTGTTGTGTTTTTCTTAGATTTTGTCATGTTTTGAAAGAGTGTCCACGGTTGCGGTCTAGATATGTTCTTGTGCTCCTGTTTCCCAAGCAATCCAACTTTTATTTGTTTAAAGCAACCTCTGGATCCGACTCTACCCTTCCTTGCCCATAAGCATTCTCATTGTTGCAAAGGTAGTACTTTTTGGGCTTCTCCCTCCACATTCTTTATGAAATGGGCTTCTCCCTCCACATTCTTTATGTAATGGAGAGAAGATCATTATTTTGAAACACAATGTGCCCACCAGGCCCAACAAAAGTTGAGAAACTCGCTTAGTAGTACTGGGCCTGGATGACTGATTGGAATTGGGCTTTGCA